TCTCTGCACTTTCTAGAGTCTCAACATCTTTTTTGTATCTTAGTGATCAAAACTGGACATATTATTCCATGTGTTGTCTTACCAAAGATAATATAAAGCAGTACTTCATGTAGTCTTGATAGTATCCCTCTGTTGATGCAGTCTAAGACTGTGTTGGATTTTTTGACATCTGCAGCACATTGCTGGCTCATATTTAAGTGATTTTCTACTAGGAGTCCTAGATCCCACGCAGTTACTATTATTGAGCGAAATACCACTGTTCTGTACGTATATGTTTGGTTTTACATGCATCTTATTTTTCTCATCCCTGAATTGCATTTTGTTAAATAGGGGCCCAATGTTCAAGTCTGTCAAGATTGTTCTGGGTTTCAAATCTATCTTTGAAGTGTTGGTTATTCCAAGCTTGGTGTCATCTGAAAATTTGATGAGTTTTCCTATCCCCTCATTTAAATCATTTATGAAGATGCTGAAGACTACTGGGGCTAAGGTAGAACTTTGGAGTATCCCACTGTATGCTTCCCTCGATGTAAATGTAGTTCCATTAAGGGCTACATGTTGAAAGTGGTTGGTCAGCCAGTTATGAATCCAACTGGTGGTGATGCTGTCTAACCTACATTTTTATATCTTGCCAAGTAGGTTGTGGTTTATTTTGTCAAATGCCTTACTGATGTCCAAATGTATTGTCCAAACATTTTGCTGGTGTACTAATTTAGTCACTTTGTCAAAGAATGAAATGATATTTGTCTGCCATGATCTGTTTTTGACATATTTCAATGTAAATAAACCAAGACAAAGAATTGAAATCCAAGATCTGTATCATGGCCCTGTACAAGTATTGAGAAAAAGCTCCCACTTCACAACAAAGATTATTATTGCAATGGGTCATAGCTTGATTGGAACCATTGTGAGAGAAAAGAGATGAAGACCACATTCCCATTCTAGAAATAAATGAAAGGATGCCTTTATTCTTTGAAGAGATCTGCATTGTGTATTAGATACTTTACAGAAAGATAGAATTTATCTTTTGACTACACCAGTAAAGATTAGAAAGAAAATGCAATCTTTCTAGTACTCTGAGTCTATATGACCCATTTTACTGCACATTTATTTTTAATTAAAAATATTTTAAAATACTAATTGGAAACCTGCCTTCAAAAGCAGAGGGTTAAGAAAAGCAGTATTCTTCATACTGGGGTGTGTGGATCTAATCTAGATTTAACACACACACATACACACATAAATACACACACACACACACTGCATTGACAATTTGTTAGAAGAAGCCTGGCACTAATGGGGATATTATGTGGTAAATATAATGTGATAGCTTTATGTCTCAAGCAAGATGCTAAAACAGAGACAATGAAAAAATGAAAACCTTCAATATGAAAGAACACATTGACATAAAAAAAATTAATTAAATTTGGAATACTTTATTACACATCTGCAAAATTATAAATTTAGCATCATGAACCAGTGCACAAGATTATGGATATTTACGGAATCTCATGATTTTTACAACCTGTCAAAAATCACAGTCACCTCTGTGATTTACATATTATAATTTACAATTATTACATATTTTTATGTAATAATTTGTTAGTTCAGTGATGTAATTATTATTTTGCTGGCATTCCTCATAGCTATAATGTACGGCATTTTTGTATTTTGGATCTGAATTCTCCATCTTTTTGTGACCATGCAGAACCAGGAACATAACCTTGAAACCAGAAAAGTTGTTGAAAGGATACTTGGAAAAAATCTGAAAATTTTGTGCAATGCCATTTTTGCAACTCTTCCTCCTTAGAGAAAAATTTGCACCATTTCTGTATTCAGTGATATTGAGAAGTTCTATCCAAGAGCTCCCTGGCTCCTATTGCCATGTTTCTGTTAGTATCACCCCTCAAAAGAACCAGTAAATCATTTTTCCTGATATTTTGAAAGAAATAATATTCTATTGTAATGGGAAGAAGGAATAACTTTGAGGAACAGGAGGAAGAACCACAATCAAGAAAATGGTAGGATGTAAGAAATCTGAATCCAGGGCAAAATATAATTTGAAAAAGCATCTCAGACAAGACCCTCCTTAGTTCTCATGAAGATAGAGGGAGGGGAGAAGTGCATTCAGATTTGCTAGTTTCTGTTAGTATAACTCTATAATAAAAGTATTAGCTTGTGTATCTTTGGCTTCCAAGTTCAGGTCTACCTTGGAAGGCTGATAGTTATGTTACATATAAATCTAATAGAAAATAAGTACTCTTTCTCTTCTCAGTCCTTAAGAACATTAACTTTTCTGCTGTCTTCCATTTATCCTCTTTTCTTGGAGTTATTAGCAATTGTGCTTTCGGTATTTTCTTCTTAAGGAACATTTCCCCATACTTACCAATCTTTTGAATTTGTAGAAACTGCTGTCTAAGGTACAGATTCTCTATTGTTTGTTTGTTTGTTTGTTTGTTTATTATTTATTTATTTATTTATTTATTTATTTATTTATTTATTTATTATTGCGATTTATATGCTGCCATTCTCCTGAGGGACTCAGGGCGGCTTACAAAAACAATATTCAATACAAATCACAATGAAATTAAAATCAACAACCCAATTAAAACAGTTTAAAATTATAGCAATGATCCAGGGCGGATCAGCTAAGTTGACAAAAGAGCCACGTCTTCAACTTACGACAGAAGGAAAGGAGGTCGGGGACTCTCCTGAGCTCGGCGGGCAAATCATTCCAGAGGGTCGGGGCTCCCACAGAGAACGCTCTCCTCCTGGGAGCCGTCAGCCGACATTGTTTGGCTGAAGGCACCCTGAGGAGGCCCACTCTGTGAGAGTGCACGGGACAGTGGGAGAGTGGCTGGAGGTGGTCCTGCAAGTATCCCAGGCCTAAGCCATGAAGGGCTTTATAGGTAAGCACCAGCACCTTGAAACGAATCCGGAACGCCACCGGCAGCCAGTGCAGCTCGCGCAGGAGAGGTGTTACATGGGAGTATCGAGAGGCCCCTGTAATTACCTGCGTGGCCACCTTCTGGACTAGCTGGAGCTTCCGGATGCATCCCAAGGGCAGCCCCATGTAGAGGGTGTTACAGTAGTCCAACCTAGAGGTAACGAGGGCATGAGTGACTGTGACGAGGGCATCCCGGTCTAGAAAAGGGCGCAACTGGCGCACAAGATGCACCTGTGCAAAGGCCCCTCTGGTTACGGCCGTCAGATGGTCATCCAAGGACAGCCGAGAATCCAGGAGGACGCCCAGATTGTGAACCCTATTGGAGGGGTAAGAGTCTCCCCACCAATCATTAAAGTTGGAACCTCCAGATCCCAAGATGCCGGCATCCACAGCCACACAGTCTTGGAAGGGTTGAGTCTGAGTCTGTTCCTCCCCATCCAAACCCGCACTGCTTCCAGGCAATGGGACATCACAGAAAGGACATCACTAGGGTGGTCAGGGGTGGAGATGTAAAGCTGGGTATCATCAGCATATTGATGATACCTCACCCCAAAACCACGAATGATCTCACCCAGCGGTTTCATATAGATGTTAAAGAGCAGGGGAGAGAGAACCGATCCCTGAGGCACCCCACAAGTGAGGGGCCTCTGGGAGGATCCCTGACCCCCCGCCCAAACAGACTGCAAGCGACCAGAGAGGTAGGAGGAGAATCACCGCAAAACAGTGCCTCCTATCCCTATCTCCCTGAGCCGCTGCAGCAGGATACCATGGTTGATGGTATCGAAAGCCGCTGAGAGGTCAAGAAGGACCAGGATAGAGGAGCAACCCCCATCCCTGGCCCGCCAGAGATCATTTACTAGAGCGACCAATACCGTTTCCGTGCTGTGACCACACCTGAAACCAGATTGGTAAGGATCGAGGTAGTCTCCAGGGATTGAGGGAATTGATGTGCCATCACGGACTCAACAACCTTCGCTAAAAAGCGAAGGTTGGAGACTGGACGGTAGTTGTTAAGAACGTCAGGGTCCAGGCTAGACTTTTTAAGGAGGGGCCGAACCACCGCCTCTTTGAGTGCAGCGGGGAAGACCCCTTCCCTTAACGAACCGTTGGCAACAGCCTGGATCCAGTCTCCAGTCACCTCTCTGGCTGCAGACACAAGCCAGGAGGGACAAGGGTCCAATAAACACGTGGAGGACCCCAGCCAACCCATAATCCTGTCCACGTCAATTTATGATCATAATTGCACCCAAAATTTCTGTGGCTAAGCAAAAGTTGTTAAGTCAGTTTTGTCCCATTTTACAACCTTTCTTGCAGTAGTTGTTAAGTGAATCACTGCAGTTAAGTGGTTGCTAAGTGAATCTGGCTTCCTCATTGACTTTGCTTGTCAGAAGATCACAAAAGGTGATCACATGACTCTGGGACACTGCAAACCTCTCAGGAAGACTCTTTCCTTAATTAGGTTCTTTAGGTCTTCCAAAAGTACAGCAACTGCCGCTTAACTGGATCTATCCACTTTGTTGCTAGCCATCTTCTTCTCTTTCCCTCCATCTTTTCAACATTAGAGCCTTCTCCATAGATCAAGGTCTTCACATAATGTGTCCAAAGTAGTATAATTATATTTTCCTTTCCTTTTATTTCTCTTATAGGCTGGATGTTCCATAACAATGCTCCATTTGTTATTATGCTTTGAATCGCCATAACATCCAATGGGAGATTGGATGCACAAATGGAGCTGCACACATGTGCACTTGCTGGCTGCTTACGCAAACGGAGCTGTGTGCATGCGCACTGGCTGCTCATGCAGAACCATCCCCCCCCCCCCGCTGGTCCATAAAGCCGGAAATGTTGGGAAACACAAGAGTTGTGGCTGCGGCAACAGACTAGAAACCAGGAGACTGTGAGTTTTAGTCCCACCTGAGGGACAAAGCCATCTTTGGCCAGTCACTCTTTCTCAGCAGGCAAGGGCAAACCACTTCTGAAAAACCTTGCCAAGAAAACTGCAGAGACTTCACAGGCTGCCACCAGCAGTCGATACCAGGCAGAATAACAACATCACTAAATTGCATAATTATATTTAAAGTCGTAGAATTTTAAACAATACAACAGGATTTGATGGGGAAAAGTAGGTAGTTCATTCTTTTAACTAACTCATAGTTTGCTGAGTAACTGTTGATTGAATAAACCACAGGTATGGAGCCAGTCAGTATTTGCTTCTTCCTTCCCCTCATCAGCCTGACTTCTTTTTCTCATCTGAATATACATTTTTCTGAGAGACCGGATTCCTGAAAACAAACAATTTCTGCTGATTATAACTGTTACTCTCTCATTTATACACTGCATTTCCTATGAAAGTGCAATGCTTAGGGAGGAGGATTTGAAAGAGCAAAATATGAAAAATAAATCATATCCAAACCAAGTCCAGACCAATCCAAAGCTTACATGTTTTCTTTGGGTTTAATTGTTCAAAACAACATTATTTATAATTGTAGCCTATGGCATATTTTCAGTCTCTATCTCATAGTCTCTCACATGCACACATGGAATAGCCAACAGCTGTGAGCCAATATGTAGATGTTCTTGTCCTAAGAGTAGGGAATTTCACTAAACGTAATCAGAAATTAGCTTTTGCCACCAAAGTTGTATCGCAAATCCAAGCATTTCTTTATTAATAAATTTACTACTTTACTATTAAATTTCTTAGTGCCATAGGTTTTATTAGAAACCTAGATTTTTTGTTTTAATATTTATACTATTTATTTTATTTTATTACAATTTTTATTAGAAAGCATTTCTTCAGAATGGTATATTGCAAACTTTAATATTTTGCCAATAATCTGCTGAAGATTTGTCCTGTGAATAAATGTCTACACTAATTAATGTCCATATAAAAATATTTATAGTGAACATTTGTTCATACAAAAGGTACGATAAAAAATTAACATGCCTAAGAAATAATTATATTTGAATGAATTAGGATTTGCTAAAAATATTGTTGCTATGTTAATTTTTTAGCCAGAAAAATTAATGCAACGAACTATATTAGTTTTCAATGATTTTAACCAACAAAATACATTGAAATAGTTTATTATCTCATCATTGACATTGTTTCTATGGTACACAGGTGCTGATGCATCACCAACATTTTTTTCCCCAAATTACCATATTTTTTGGAGTACAAGACACACTTTTTTCCCTCCTAAAAGAAGCTGAAAATTTGGGTGCATCTTATACTCTGAATGTAACCCCACCCACCCGCTGGCCCACACCCTTCGGCCTCTGTGCGTCCTCTTCCTGGCTGCAGAGATTGCCACCGACAATGGCTTGTGTTTTTGGGCTCTGCATGTTGTGTTTTCAGCCTCCAAACACTCCGTTTGAGAGCCCTTGAAGGCTGTGGCGATCGCCAAAGCACATTGCTGCCAATCGCTGCCCGAAAATATGACGTGTTAGGAGGCTGAAAACATGATGTACGGTGCCCAAAATGGCTACATGGAACAGCTGCTGCCTTTTCTTACCCCTTCCGCGCTTTGCCTGCTTTAGTCACTGGAGCTCCCTCTGACGATCAGCTGTGCTTTTGAAGCTGTTTTTCAGCCCCAATGCGAGTGAAGCGATCTTCTGTGCTTTGCCTGCTTTTCTAATTGCTGCTCCCTCTGACGATCCCAACCTGAACCAGCCCCAACCTCAAAACCAGCGAGTGAATTAATGTGCTGAAACTGACCAGGCTAAGGATGCTAGCCAGATGAATACCTGGTAGGCAGAATTTTCCCCCCCTATTTTCCTCCCCAAAAACTAAGGTGCGTCTTATACTCCAGTGCGTCTTATACTCCAAAAAATACAGTACCTTATCTAAAAAAATGGTGCATAAGCCAAAGAGAAGGGTGTAATTACCAAGGACAATAAAAATATATTGAAAGAACCAGGAAAGAGAAGCTTATATTTGAAGATTGAAGCAGCAATACTGCAAACAGGTCTGTAATATTATAAATACCAGTTCAGACAGTGAGAACAATTTCTCAATGCATTCTCTTGATTTAAGCAAAATATTTGTTAATTCAAGAAGATGCATACAGTTTTTTTTCTCTAGATAGCAGAAAGTTTTCTATTATACACCGTCTCTAAAAATACTGTGTTCTGGTATCTAGAACTCTACCAAAGAAACAGCAAAACAGACTTCAGTACAGCTTGGAGGTTGAAAACTTTGGGGTTCATCTTCACCAATCTTATCTTGGACCTTTGGGTTTAAATAATGCCTTCACTGTATTTGCTTTGCCACACTACCAATGCCATCATGAGTAGGGTGATAAAAATTGGTACAACAATGAATGGACATAAAATGATGTTAGGGGGGTCTCCTACAGCTCTTCCTGAAACAGGGCAGGTTTTGAAGTAGTGACTATGAATTGTTATGAAGAACTGATCCACCAGTTGGTTTGGCCAGTAACAATCCAGTTTCTCAGCTATCAGGATAGTGCAATTGGTAAGCTCCTTGTAACAGCTGCAAAAGAGACAAGGAGATTTGTTAAAAATGTCACTCAATCATTAAAGGACATTACATATATTACACAGAGGCAAAGCCTAAATTACCAGCAGTTATTGTTTTAGGGTCAAAATATCATAGGTATTTTTCTAAAGTGAAGAATAGGTAACAATTCTCACAAAGTGCCTTACAAGCAGTACAAACAATTGTATATTTCTAGAATCCTTCCCACCAGAAAACCAGTGGACACTGACCACAAGGGAGAGGAGATGGCAGCTCAATAGAGTAAACTTCTAGTCCTTGCCTCCTCTCTCCCTCTTTTTCTCTTTGGGTATCATTTCTACTGGGGAGTTAAAATATAATACTGAGTATTTCAACTAAGTCCTAAATTCTAACTAACTAACAAATCCTTATTCCGACAGATAGGCAGAATGCATCAATTATCACAGCAAACAAGAGGAAAACCTATTATGCACAAAATCCACCCGGGTCTTCTATAATGTTGTAAACAACGAAGTTAAAGACTCAAGATCCATCCCACCACTAAAAGGGCCAAATGGGAAAGACTTTAATGATGAAACTGTTAAGGCCAACCTCTTCAACACATTCTTCGGTTCAATCTTTGTAAACAGCAACAGATCATACCCCACATTTCCCAATCGTACCACAATTAATCACAACAATCTACTACATGTCAATTTCACAGAAAATGCTGTTGAAAAGGCACTACGCAACCTAAAACCATCTCTATCGATTGGCCCTGATGGATTATGTGCCTACTTCCTAAAGAAGCTCTCAACCACCATAGCAGAACCACTTAGCATAATCTACGAAATACCTTTCAGAACCAGCTCCTTACCTAACTTATGGTCACTAGCCACGGTCATCCCCATCTTCAAAAAGAGTGACCCCAGTTGATAATTACAGACCAATCTCATTATATTGCGTCACATGCAAAGTCATGGAATCAATCATAAACCAATCCATTACCCTCTACTTAGAGACAAACAACCTACTCTCTAACAAGCAGTTTGGCTTCAGAAAAAAATTGTCCTGCAATATGCAACTCTTACACTGCAAAAACATATGGACTTCACAACTCAACTAGGGTAAAGCAATAGATGCAATTTATATAGACTTCTGTAAAGCCTTTGATTCAGTAGTACACGACAAACTAATTCTAAAACTAAAATCTTATGGCATTTCCATATCCCTGCATAAGTGGATAGCTGCATTCCAATGAAACAGGCAACGTAGTCAAAATAGGAAATGCCCTATCAAACCCTGCACCAGTTAACAGCGGTGTCCCCCAAGGAAGCATTTTAGGATGCACACTCTTTATACTTTACATAAACAACCTTTGAAATCATATTATAAGCAACTGCGTTCTCTTCACTGATGATGTAAAACTATTCAACACCACCAACAATGCTGCTACCCTACAAAAAGACCTTGACTATCTGTCAGAATGGTCAAACAATTGGCAACTCCAAATCTCAACCAACAAATGTTCTGTCCTACATATTGGCAAAAAAACCCCAAAACACAAAATATAAGCTGGGCAGATACAACCTTGTAGATGACCCTCACTCTGTCAAGGACCTTGGAGTACTCATCTCAAACGATCTAAGTGCCAGAGCTCACTGTAACAGCATTGCCAAAAAAGCATTAAAAGTTGTTAACCTAATCTTGCGTAGCTTCTTCTCCGGTAATATTGAACTGCAAACTAGGCATACAAAATTTTTGCTAGACCAATTCTTGTATACAGCTCATCTGTCTGGAACCCGCACTGCATATCGGACATTAATTGAATGAGTCCAGAGATACTTCACGAGAAGAGTCCTCTACTCCTCTGCTTGTAACAGAATACCTTATGCCACCAGACTTGAAATTTAGGGGATAGACAACTTAGAACTTTGCTGTCTTCGGTCTGACCTAAGCGTAGTACATAAAATTACAATGCTACAATGTCCTACCTATCAATGAATGCTTCAGCTTCAATCACAACAATACACGAGCACATAATAGATATAAACTTATGGTAAAGCATGCCAAACTTAATTGCAGAAAATATGACTTCAGTAACAGAGTTGTTAATGCCTGGAATGCACAAGCTGACTCTGTAGTTTCTTCCCCAAACCCCCAAAACTTTACCCTGAGACTATCTACTGTCAACCTCACCCCATTCCTAAGAGGTTTTTAAGGGGTATGCATAAGCGCACCAGTGTGCCTACCGTCCCTGCCCTAACGTTCCCTTTTATTCGTATCCATTTCATGTATTCATAGTTATGTTTATACTTATATCTGTTATCTAATACATGCTTGATGAAAATAAATAATAAATAATACTACTTTACCATTAGGATCTCTCAAAAGTGACAATTGCAAGATATAGCTACAAAGATACTTACTGAACTGGGTGGAATGTTTTAGAATGGAGGCCGAATGTTTTAGGTTGTAATCTAGGACTAAGAATTAGGATCCGAAACGCACATTTTAAAGACAAAAATCAAGGGCAGAAATATTTCTGAAAATGGAAATGGATTAAATCATGACTATAGCAGAAACATGTTCTCTCTCTCTTCTTTGTTCTGCCAACTGTTAACCACAATATCCAAACAACAAATAAACACTTGATCAGTGGTGGGTTGCTCCCGGTTCGCACCGGTTCAGGAGAACTGGTAGTAAAAAATTTTCATTGGTCGCAGAATCGGTAGTAATGGCTGGCTGGCCACGCCCCTGAACCGGTCCCCCGGTTGCTGCTCACTCACCCCGGCCACCATGTTCATTGCCGCCATGTTCTTCACACATGCGCATCCCATTGCCTTGCAAGTCCAATGGGATGCGCATGTGCGAAGAACATGGTGGCAATGACAGCAGCTTTTTCCATAGCTACAAAGCTTGCTGGGCTGGGTGGCCCCCTCCCCGCCTGCCAGCAGCTCCCAAATCCACTGCCATTGCAGCTGCGGTGGGGATGGGGGGGGTTTCAGCTTGCTGGGCTGTCGACTTCACCCTCCCTGTCACCACTGTCCTCTCCTGCCAAGGCCTGCACTACCACCTTTCCTCCAGAGGCATGTGGAAGATCTAGAAGGTAAAGCTGATGCTGGCAGCGGGGGGAGGGAGACCCACTGTGCTCAGCCGAAGAGCTGCCTCGGGGGGGGGACACACAGTGAGGCTCACTTGCCTTTTGGGCCTGGCGTGCTCGGCCTCGTGGGACATCATGTGGCTACAAAGCTTGCTGGGCCAGGCAACCCCTTTCACGCCGACCAGAGACTCCCAAAGCCGCCCCTTTTGCAGCAGTGGTGGAGGTGGGATGGGATGGGGGCAGCCCAGTAAGCTTCGTAGCAGCTGCATGCTACAAAGCTTGCCGGCCTGGGCAGCCCCCTTTTTGCTGGCCAGTGGCTCCTGAAGCTGCCCCTTTTGCAGCAGCAGTGGAGATGGGATGGGATGGGAGCAGCCTGGTAAGCTTCGCAGTAGCTGCATACTACAAAGCCATTTCCTCCTTTCAGTGGTCCATGATAGTGCATCTATAGTATGTAGATAATAAACTTGAAAAAAGGTGAACAACATTTTTACAGAACTATAGATACGTTGAGGCTGAGTGTGACAAAGAATGGCTGGGAGGGGAGGGGCCAGGCGAGGCACTCCTTGCCCTGAGTGACATTGAGTTGGCCACGCCCACCCAGTCACATGACCACCAAGCCAGGCCCACCCAGTCACATGACCACCAAGCCAGGCCCACCCAGTCACATGACCACCAAGCCACGGCCACCAAGCAAGCCACGCCCACAGAACCAGTAGTAAAAGGTTTTGGAATCCACCCCTGCACTTGATCCTTAGTATCTGTACATCAGAAAAATCACATACATACACTTATGCACATTTAAGAAAACAAATCAAATTTAGTAGAGCAAGTGAAAAATTCTTCATTTAGGAAAGAAAAATCATGCATGAAAAGAGTCTTGGCACTGGGATTCATCCAACGTTACACTGACTGCTAAAAAGGCACATGCCATTACAGATGCAACAATAGAAGGATACTTATTATTTGTATCTTATTATTACTCCCAAAATGGAATGAGTTAGGAAGTAATAATTCAGTTTTCTGCATTTGAAGAATGATTCAAGAATAAAGAGCAAGGAAAAGAATGAGGTCAAATACTACTGCTTTGAAATTATGCTAATAGTAAGAATCTGCTCAAGTGAAGGCCATGTATCACTTTGTCTGGGATGTGCTAATTTGGATTCATATGCTGGGGATGGATCTGTGTTGGACCTAATGGCCCAAACTGTTCCATCTTTATGTTTATTAAACAGATTGTAATAGTAGCCCTTTCCCAGCCTGCATACTGTATGGGCAAAGGCATATGCAAACCACAAGTTTCTCTCCACCAGGGACTTGGCATGTAAGCCAAAAGGAGATTTTTCCCCAGCCCTTCCCATTCTGGGAAACCTTTGTTCTTTGGGGACTGCACACCAACTTCTGTGGACTATGGAGCAAGAAGCTGTGTGTTAGGGGTAAGGTGTTACAGTATATGGTTTTCTTTTTTATGTTGTGTATGTACTTTTATCTATATATGTTTATGTTGGACACCAGGGGTTCCCAACCTCAGGCCACAGACTGGTGGCCTATTACGAACTGGGCTGCACAGTTGGAGGTGAGCGAGTGGTGCACCCATGCCCCCCATCCATGGAAAAATTGTCTTCCACAAAACCAGCCCCTAGTGCCAAAAAGGTTGAGGATTGCTGTTGTACACTGTCCAGAGTTGATAGCCTTATAAATCAAATAAATAAATAGATAAAATAAGGAAAGGAGAGCATTCTCTTCCAGCTTCTGATTTAAGGATGGTGGGTTTTTTTGGTGTGTGTGTGTGTGTGTGTGTGTGTGTAGGAAGTGATTTCTGGTAACAACTGAATCCAAAAAAAGAATTTGATTAAAGGACAATATATTCTAGAGGAAGTAAGAATACTAAAGACATTTTTATTTTGTTTTTGCATGCTTAAGTCTAATATTTTGT